CTGGGTGCCCTGGTTTGTGCTCACTCACCATTCTCAGTCTGCAGCCGGCCCCGCTGCGCGTTCACGTCCGTCAGCTGCCGCTGCAGCTCGTCCACTCTGGCCTTGGCCTCGTTCAGCTGGTCCTCGTAGGTGCGGCACAGCTTCTCTGCATTGGCCTGCAGCACCAAGCACAGCCTGGCTGAGCTCAGCTCTGCACAGAGCACCATCTCCCAGCCTGGGATACCCTGCCCTGCTCAGTGCATCCTATGGGCACACAGGGCAGAGAGAGGAGCCTGGCAGAGCTCGCTGCCAAGCTAACATTGGCTCTCTGCAGTCAAGCTGCCCAGCAAATGCCTTCCCAGAGCCTCCAGACCTGACTAGGACAAGTAAAGCATCCTGTAGAGACACAGGGACAAGCTGCAGGTCAAACAGGACTTGGTCATGGCAAAGCAACACCACCCCATGGACGTGGCTGTGCTGGTCATGCTGCACCCTGTCACAGACATATCTTATGAAAAATCCTTTTGCTAGGATTTTTCTCCTGAGAAGCTGAGACACCTCAGGAACAAAATGTAAACATTGATTATCTGCTGCTGTGGAATGCAAAAGGTGCATCTGTGATCGGTCCATGTGGTTGTTTTTAATTAACAGCCAATCACAGTCAGATGGCTCAGTCTCTCTGAGAGTCACAAGCTTTTGTTATCATTCCTTTCTATTCCTTTCAAGCTTTCTGATTAAATCCTTTCTTCTATTCTTTTAGTATAGTTTAATATATAATTTTCTTTTAATATAATGTATAACATAAAATAATAAATCAGCCTTCTGAAACGTGGAGACAAGATTTTCATCTCTTCCCTCATCCTGGGATCCCTGAGAACACCACCACTCAGCAGAACTGATGTCCACAGGAAAGACCAACCAGCCCCGTGGAGAACCAAGACTATGAAAAATGCATACTTTATGATTGGCTTTTTGCAAATATTAAAATGAATATTTTATGTGTTATGTTAGAAAGTTATGCTGTTTTAATTTTCTTAAGTATTGTGTTAAATATAGTTTCAGGTTATAACATAAGGTTAAAATAGAAACTATGCTATGTAGGATACTTTTTTCTAAAGAAAGGACACGCACCGAGATAGCAGCCACAGGACACCTGAATCTTTCAGAGAAAGAGAATTTATTGCTCCATTATCAGAAGAAATGAACTTCTTTCTGCCTTGCTCAGCCAAGTTAGGATTAAGAGGAAGAAGTTGATGACGACCAAACAGAATCCTGTGTTTGAATGGAATTTATGCATCATGTTTGAGATGCATGAATATGTAACAGGTTATTGTTTTTAAGGGTTAATCCTCTGTTAACATGGGTCCTTTTTCGGGCTTATG